ATCCTGGGCCACAGAATATCAGTGAAGGGAATTTACTATGGTATATTACAATTCCAGCCAGCATATATATATATATATATTTTAGACACTGCTGGCTCATTAGCCACCAGTGTCCCCTCACAATCCACCAGCGTCCCCTCACAGTGTGGTGAGAGAGGGGAATGAGTGAATGGAATATTTGTTTATTTCCAGGGAAATTTGGTTGACAATTTGGATGACATGGACGTGGGTCAGTAATTCCTCTGAACGTCAGAAGCAGTCAGGGTAAATTCGAACATTCCAGTTTGGCAGCAGGATGCTGCTTCAGGAAACTTTCCTTATCAAGACTACTCATAGCTCAATTGATAGAGATTCGGGCTCACACGAGTGGGGTCTACGGTTTGAAACCCATATATAGCTCAGGTGACTGAAATCGGAATACAGAAACTGCAGCGTAGATTTATCGAAGTTCCACTGAATAAATATACAGTTGGGACTATGACAATTAAGCAGCAGCCAGGAACCACCTCTTGCTATCACTCAATGACTACTAGATCAACCACAATCCCACAAATCCCGACTCAGGGGCCATTAACCTCAAAGGAAAATCCCCTATCAATCAAACCCACCGACATTCCACACCGATCTTCGTCAATAATTACGTAGGTCACCTAGAGACAACGAAACAGCTTGTATAAATCACTCTCAAAGTATAAAATGCAACTGAACCTAAATTAAATCATTACAGAATCCATCAAGTTCCATCAGAGACTACCGGTACAAATCAATCTCTATCACTGTTGCTCAGAGATGCCAGATAACAATGAGATGATGATAGTTGTAGAGGCAAGTGCCTACGGCGTCATACCAACGTGATTGTAGCAGTTAGAAGCCGGGAAGGCCAATTAGAGGGGAACTATATAGGACCTCTGAGATGGTTTCCGGGCATCTACGAACGATTATCATCATCATCCGAAGGTCACCAAGACGAGGCAGAGATTATCATTGTCAGTCAGTCACAGGAGCAATTAGGAACAATGCATGCAAAGATTTAAAACCAGAGAGAGAGAGAGAGAGAGAGAGAGAGAGAGAGAGAGAGAGAGAGAGAGAGAGAGAGAGAGAGAGAGAGAGAGAGAGAGAGAGAGAGAGAGAGAGAGAGAGAGAGAGAGAGAGAGAGACTTCGACGTATATATGAGAGGGTGGTCAGCTGGGACGACATTTGTCATATTCAAATGAGGTGTTACAAGGGAGGGAAGCTGGCAGAGGCCTGGCCAGGCCTGCCACCAGACGGATGTTCGTTCAACAAAGGTTGTGTGATGATAAATTGTTTTTTTTTTATATTAGCCTTTACACACACACATACACACGCGAACACGCAGACAGAAATACATACCGTGTATGTGTAATTAGATTACATTAATACTCCTCGTCAATTCTACATCTTAGCCTCAATTGTTTGAACCACCGTAAGTGTTACATAAACAACATAGTTTCGATCTAATCGTGTGTTGTTTGAAATCTTTTGTAATTCTTTGTAAACAAAATACCAAGAAGTATACTAATCAAACAGCATTAAATATCGCTTAGGCAGCAGACTATATTGAACAACACTTACTCTTAACAATGACGAAATGCTCGTTAATTTAACCTCGCTATTTATGAATGGAAAACAAATGAAACTCGCACATCTAGTTCAAATGCAATTCCAGTCCAAACTGTGGTTGACCCCAGAGATACATTAGCCAGTTTGCATCAAAAAAACAATGTTTTTCATGTACATAATTACATCTATTATTCATTTAATGCCATTTTAAGACAACTTGAAAATGGCTTTTATTTTTACACTGTGATATAATAGCCAACCGAACATTGTCGCTAAAAAAGTACGTGAATATAGAGCAAAGGAACGGGTGTAAATCAAGGCTCTGGAGGTACTAAGTGTCTTAGCAATATGTTTAGGAAATTACCTTGTTGTTGTGTAAACACGAGTGTGTCTCAGGCTCGGTTTACGGGCTCACCATAGCCCGTGCTACATGGACACTCCGTCCTGAATAGCTAAATCTTTAACAACAACAACAGTGTCTCAGGAGAATCTTGTCCAAATGATGTGGCTCCGTTACTTCCTTCCCCCCCCCCCCCCCGCCCTGACACCTTCAAGCGACCCTGGTCTTGTTTGCATTCCTCTGGGTACCAATTTCATCCCATTTCCACCACTTATCTTACTGTAAGTGTTGGACATATTACTGGCGACGAGCAGTTCACGTAAAATATACCCAGTATCTACCGGCTTTAACGTAAGACAAGCATGCTGATTGCAGCCCGTTTGACAAGCGTCTAATTTAAAGTTGTTGAACCAAGCCATAAGCGTACGACCTCTCTTCCCCCCCCCCCCTTCCCCCGACCAGCTCTCCTGCCCTACCCAGGTTGGTTGCTCATTAGTGCGAACCGGCGTCCAAAGTGAGGTGATTTAATCCTACTAAATCACCTCACTTTGGACGCTAGTGTTCACGGCTTCCAAACAAAGGTGTATAATGTTGAGCTTGGATTGTTTATTGTCACGCCAATCCCAGCACGCCTCTGTCCTCCCCACCACCCTTCCCCCTCAATCCCAGCACGCCTCTGTCCTCCTCACCCTTCCCCCTCAACCCCAGCACTGTCAAGGAGCTGCTTAAACCGTGTGATTGTGTTTGAAGTATCACGTAACAATAGAGGTTGTTGTTACAACAACAGCTTCTGCTGTTACTACTAATTATATAAATATAGAAACATCAATAATAGATGTTAGGGAGGGAAGAACACGTTGTTCAAAGAAATAGCAGCACAGCAAAGAACATTATTCAGATATGAACATACTAATGAAGACCACAGCACACCGTATTTACCACAGCACAACACAGCACAGCACACCACACACACCCACAGCACACCACACACACCACAGCACACCACACACACCCACAACACACCACACACACCACAGCACACCACACACACCCACAACACACCACACACACCCACAACACACCACACACACCCACAACACACCACACAGAACATATCGAACCACACAGTCCACAAAAATAGACCGCTTACACATTATACCTAAGTACACCACGCATTAACTAGTTGCACGGGAGTCAGCCAACTGTTGTGGGTTGCATCTGGGAAAAGGACAGTCATTAGCTAGGGAAGCCTCGATAAGCCTAACAGGCTTGTTGTCCCTGACAGTGAGAAGCCAACAACCATTTAGCAGCGTCTTAAACGCCCCTTGTAAATGCTCAAAATCTTCCCAGAGATAAATATAAAAAATTATGTCTTCTAAGAATATGAATTTATGAATCTATATAAATATTCACTTAATAGACAGAATTTTTTTTTAATGTTCGTGCCTCTGCAGATCAGTGAGTCGTCTTCAACTATGAACTTCAAGATGTCAATAATAAGTGAACACTCACGAACAAACATGAACAAGTGTGAGTACAGCACCGAATCGCTGTACTCTGTACGATCCTGTGTCATTTAAATGCGTTCGAAAGCATAACATTTATCGTCAGTGCGTTCGTATGCAAGAGAAGATTTGCCGTCACTAATGGCCAGGGGGCCAGATTCACGATTACGCAAGCACTTGCGAGCCTGTACATCTATTTTCAATTGTTTGCTGCTTTGTTTACAGTTATTAAAGAGTTAATGAGCTCCGAAGCACCAGGAGGCTGTTTATAACAATATCAACAGTTGATTGGGAAGTTTTCATGCTTGTAAGCTGCTTAATAAATGTAACCAAAGCCGTCAAAGAATGAGGAAAGATGGACAGGTTCGTAAGTGTATGCGTAACTGCTTCGTGAATCTGGCCCCTATGCATCTTTTCTCAATCTTTGGCGGCTTTTTTTTTTTTACAATATTTAAACAGTTAATGAGCTCCGAAGCACCAGGAGGATATTTATAACAATAACAACAATTGACTGGGAATTAACTATATCCTGAATGAGGTAAGACAAGCTCAGTTACAGAGATAGAAAAGTTTAATAATAAATTATCAACTGATGTGTGTTCTGATAGCATTGTATTCAGACATGGACATATATTTCATCCTTCACTCTTGCGTCACATTGTATTTCAACATTCACTCATGCGTCACACTGCATTTCAACATTCACTCATGCGTCACACTGCTTTTAATCATTCACTCTTTCTTGCGTCTCACTATATTTCATTACTCTCTGTGTGTACAATTTTCGTAAGAAAGTTCTTGCATCTGACATTCTCTCTCATGACGTCACAGATAAGGATTTATAATGTGGTGGTGAATCACGGAGAGAGAGAGAGAGAGAGAGAGAGAGAGAGAGAGAGAGAGAGAGAGAGAGAGAGAGAGAGAGAGAGAGAGAGAGAGAGAGAGAGAGAGAGAGAGAGAGACAGACAGACAGACAGAGATACAGAGAGACAGAGGTATTTATCAGGAGAGAGCAGTAAGCCATTACAACTATATTCCACTTGGCAAGGATAAGGATTTCGGAGGATAGGAGTTGTGTCCAACCAATTGGACGGTCAGGGATTGGACGGTTGATCTACAAGAATCGCTGCCGTCCCTGTACCGTCTAGCCCCAGTGATTGGACCAGAGAAAGAGACAATACGAGACGGACGGACGGACAGAAAGAGTGCGCAAGAGACAGACAGACGGACGGATAGACAGTACCGTTAGTGACAAAGTGTGAGACGCATCCCGTCATCAGTAATGACGTCAATGGCTTCATCACTGAGGATATACGTTGTGATGAATTGGACCTTTCTCAATTTGCTGCCATTATCAACTTTAGACCATGAATAGTGTATATGCACTCAGGCAGCGTTAATTCGTGTATATATGTATGTGTGCGTGCTTACTTTCGTGCACACACACACACACACACACGTACGCACGCACACACACACACACACACTCCGGGTGTGTGTCCCGGAGTTGCTACAGAAGCTTTAGTCGCCGGAGCCACAGCGGATATGACAAACTTTATCAGAGGAAACAAGTGTACGTGTGGCAAGTGCCAGTGTCTGAGGGCCAGATGTGCCACCAGCACCAGCTGGAGGTGACTAACTTGTCTCATTCCACACCGATTTCTGTACCCAGGAGAAAGCGAAGGTTCTTTGAGCGGCGTCTGTGCCGTAGAATACAGCCGAGACTTTAACCCTGGCGTCCGAGAAACAGGTTTTGAAGTATATATGTATAGGAATATATATATATTACCTGTGTAAGTTTACCTAAGAAACGTGTGTGTGTGTGTGTGTGTTTGGACTCGACTCCAGGTTGTGAATGATACACAGGGCCACCACTATGATGATTCTCTTGGCTCTGTTGTTAACCTCTGAGCTCCTCACTACAGCCATGGCCCAAGAACTTAACCTCGACGCTGAAGGTAAGGTATATGTAATGACTAAATTAATGTTTATTTATTTATTCAACTGACTTTGTTCACGGTAACGAATCAATAACATTGGTTCATGTTTCTAGGCAAGTGTGAACTTTTGTTGTGAGGAGAAACTTGAATTCCATTTTCATCTGAATAGGGTACAGTTTCGTGCACAATATTGTACACAGTACCGAGTGACAAAAGCGCACAAGGTACCGAACGATAACAGAGCACAACACCGAGCAAAAATAGCGCAAAGTGACGAGCGAAATTAGTGCACAGTACAGAGTAAAAAACAATGTACAGTACCGAATGAAAACATCAAACAATACCGAGCGGAAACAGTGCACAGTACCCAGCGAAAACAACTCCAATTATATTTTGTAATGAGCTTCGAGATACAACCTAATTTTCATTTGTTAGTACTCGCCATAGCCAAGAACTGATATAAATTAGGCAAATTTAGATTCAGGAAAGACCTGAGTAAATTACTGGTTTAGAAACAGGAATATTGAATCTTGAAACCAGTTACCGAGTAACGTAACAGACATGGAATAGATGAATTATTACAAGAGTAGGTTAGACATATATACTGATGAGTTAGAGATGGAAATCAATAGGAACTGTATCGTATGGGTCAATAGTCGTTCTTCAGTGTCCTCTGTTCTTATTATCTTCATTGCTTACGAAATACTGTGTAGCGCCAAAATGATATATTGATTACAGATGCCGAGTATTGCAAACAAAAAGGCTGATATTGAGGGAGTGGAATGTAATTGTTCTAAGGACTGGAAATGTAGCAACGAGAATATCCATTCATAAAGGTGTTGGACGGTGTCTATGAGGCGTTGCATAGATATGAAAATGTTGTATTGTTTAAATTATTGACGTAGACCAGACCACACACACTAGAAAGTGAAGGGACGACGACGACTTTTCGGTCCGTCCTGGACAATTCTCAAGTCGATGTTCTATTATTGTCAATACTTATTCAATGACTAATGTCTTTACTACCTATTTAGACGTGTTTAGCAGACAATTTATCTATTGACTTTGACAGTGGCATTATGAAAAAAAATGAAAAATCTGAAAAACCTCTGAAAAATCCTCTGAAAAATCTTCCAATTACGTATGGTTTTAGGTTTCATTTTTATTTTGAAGAATAACATTATCTCCTGATGTATCACTTTAGAAAAGCAAATCGCTTCGCAGGTTCACATCGTCCTGTGAAATGGGCTTCAAACCTGCATTTGAATAAGGAATTTTCCTGCTAAGAATCTCTTTTGTTTAGATGAGATATCATTCTCATCGATGTCCGAGTGTTCCGTTATCTTTATTGCCCTTTATCTTGATGTTATCCGAGCTGACATTTATTGTTGAGCGAGTGGCGAATTGCGTAGCTTTCGACATGTCATGGTATTACCAGCGGCATAAATTCCTGCTGCCAGATTGACATTCCATCAACCAGGAGGCCTGGTCAGAGACCGGGCCGCGGGGACTCGGCTCCTTAGAGCCACCTCAAGGTAGCCTACAAGTAATCTCAAGGCAGCCTCAATAAAAACTCAAGCTAACCCATTTTTTTAAAGAATTTCTACTGAATAAAGAATCTTTTTGAATAAAAGTCTCATTGTTTCAATTCAAGAACCCGGTTGAGGAATTGCAACCAGTTCGTAAATCTTTCTTGTCTTCGTTCTTTGTTCTCACAGGGAATTGGATTCTCTATTTTTATCCACCGAGAGACTCTATAGTCTTTATCCACCAAGAGACTCTATGGTCTTTATCCACCGAGAGCTCAAGCTCAGCTTCACTTTATCCACACAATGGTTCCTAGTGGGATCTAATACCTTTAAGCAGTCGATGTTAACAGTGCCCTTGGTAATGACCAGATCTAATCTTACAGGTTGGCAATCTTCGTCTCGATGTGGCAGGTCTAATCAGACAAGCTGATAACCTTCCCCCCCTTTCATATAGTTTCTCATATCTTTATAATTGATGTTTTTCGTGATTAGGAGAGTTAATTTCATATTTTGAGCCATTGGTTCTGCCAGTCTGAATAATATCCAAAATGACAATGATATTACCGCCCTACTCCCCTTAAATCTTGTACGCTGTTATCATATCTCCTCTGATTCCTTATCAAACTGTGGTTAGGTTGAGATGTGGCTGCCCCTTTTCCCCCTTTCTTGTATATAAGAAACCCATTAAGCTCTGCTTTAATGGGTTGAGCTCTGGCTCTTTCAGCCCGTCTGTCAACTGTCAATCAATCAACTATGTTCTCTCCCCTCCCCCCAGGAAGCAGCCTGTAACCGCTGTCTATCTCCCAGGTACCAATTTACTGATAACAGGGGAATCAGGGTGAGGCAGGGAATTATCAGGGAAAATCGCAAAGCCATTATGACTATATAGCACTTGGATAGGGTTAGGATAAGGATTTGGGATGGGACAGGGGAAAGGAATGGTGCCTATCCACTTGAACGGTCGGGGATTGAACGCCGACCTGCATGAAGCGAGACCGTCGCTCTATCGTCCAGCTCAACAGTTAACAGGGGCATCAGGGTGAAAGAAACTCTACCTATTTGCTTCCGCCGGCGCCGGGAATCGAACCCCAGTCCACAGCACTACGTATCCAGCGTGCTGTCCACTCAGCCACCAGGCCCCAGAGAGAGAGAGAGAGAGTGTGTGTGTGTGTGTGTGTGTGTGTGTGTGTGTGTGTGTGTGTGTGTGTGTGTGTGTGTGTGTGTGTGTGTGTGTGTGTGTGTCACACCACACACACACACCAGGAAGCAGCCCGTCACAGCTGACTAACTCCAAGGTACCTATTTACTGCTAGGTAACAGGGGCATTCAGGGTGAAAGAAAGTTTGCCCATTTGTTTCTGTCTGAACTGGGAATAGAACCCGCACCACAGAATTACGAGTCCTGCGCGCTACCCACCAGGCTACCAGTCCCCGTGTGTGTGTGTGTGTGTGTGTGTGTGTGTGTGTGTGTGTGTGTGTGTGTGTGTGTGTGTGTGTGTGTGTGTGTGTGTGTGTGTGTGTGTGTGTGTGCGCGCGCGCGCGCGTGTGTGTGTAGCATTAAGTGCATAAACATGAGACAGAAAATGTTAGAGATAGCTGTGTGGGTGGATAGGGTTGTGTGGGGGGGGGGGGGAAGGGGGGGGGGGGGGGTGAAAGGAAGTTGTTATCACCAACAGTGGTTGTTGTGGGGGGGAGGGAGGGGGGGGGGGGAGGGGGGGGGGAGGAGGGGATGGGGGGATATGGGAGGGGGGGGGGGATGGGGGGAGGAGGGGCGTGACACCGGCTGGCATCCTTAGCTGGTCTAACTCTTTCTTGAAACACCACCATCACCACCACCCTAATGAGGGGTAGTGGTAGTGTCACACCCTCCACTACCAAGGTTAGGTTAGGTTAGGTTAGGTTAGACACTACCAAGGTGTCGAGGATCACCACATCAGTGTAGGTAGGTAGTGTACTCTAGTTACACAGCCCAAGCTGGAGTAGGATTAAATCCTAGACATCCCGTTGACGTTCGAACTTTGCTTCAACGTTATTCTGAACTACGATGGTTGTGGAGCACATGTCACTACATGATTAAAATAGAATGTCTGTCAATCTGGCTTGAGGCCAGACGCTTGAGGCTAGCCTCTCCCACCTATGCACGGAGATTACTGAGGAGCCCAACATATGTGGTTCAAGGTCGACTCTATTATTCATAGCAGGATATCGTATGCTTCGATAGAGAACCCCCATGACGACTCTGGCACTGGCTACATGCTCGACCCTCTACAAAATCAAAACAATATTAAACAGTATTATTTTCTTACTATTTTGTAAATCATTAGACATTATTCTCGGCAAAACGTAAAAAAATATAATCATAACTTTCACGTAATGTGTCAAAGAAATGTTGTTTATGTCATTTGACACGTTTACAGCAGTAAGTAGAGTGTCTTGGTTGAATTAAAGACAAATATAGAAGAGAGAGAGAGAGAGAGAGAGAGAGAGAGAGAGAGAGAGAGAGAGAGAGAGAGAGAGAGAGAGAGAGAGAGAGAGAGAGAGAGAGAGAGAGAGAGAGAACTCGAGTCTATCTGGGTTCTCAACTCCTAAATGACACAAAATTTCGGGATCAACCCGAGTACTTCATAAAATTCCCATTCGAGATGAAACACACATCTCACCCGTTTTTTTTTTTTTTACAAAAACTATCTCTGTATTTGGGAGGAAAATTCAATATTACCGTTGTGGATCGTATCAATTGACTACATGTTACAAAAATTTCGAGCGTCCCAACAACGACAATTTCAGAACTATTAATTTGTGTGTTAAATATATAGTCAAACTTATGAAAGTTATGTATGTGTGTTGATGTCTAACGGATCTATTTCCAGACTGTGTTGTGTATGACGAGAAAAATAGCGAAGAGCCACACGTGAAGGAGTTCGAGGAGCGGGTGTCCACAGCCGTAACACCACAAACTAACATAATGTCAATGAAGCTTCATCTGGTGTCCGCCTCGCACAACTGTACCATCTTCTTTGTGGTACGATCACTCCTTTCAGAATGCACGAACGGGAGGACGACGAAGCTACTCAACTGGCCCATTGAGCTCTTCAGGCAATACGACACGACGGAGATCTGGATACAGTTGGCTGTTTCCGACGGCGTCTCAAAGGCAGAGTCCAACTCTGACGACGCATCGCTGGCCGGGTCCTATATGAACAACGTCACACTGGCAGGGTCCTTGTATGACTTATTTCTTGTTGGGAAACGAGGCAAGCTCCAAGGGCGGTTGGTGATTCCCGGAAGCGGACTGACTCCTCCCGTCCGTATGCACTGGGTCACCGTGGAGGAAGCCAAGCATTACTTCAACTGCGTCACAGGTGAGGCTTCTGGTGGCACGTACGAACAAGGAATGTCAGGAATTACTGCTGACTATATCAGTGACCCCCAAGAGCATGCAAGGAGTTCCGGTAGACTTTTTAAAAATAATTTTGGTACATTTGCATTTATACAGCTGCCCTAAATTATGTAATCAAAAATAGATCTTGACACACATCACGTAATCTATGTGATACTAAAATCGTCATCATCTCGTCATAAAGGGCCCCAGGTGATCAGTAGCCTTCACTGGCAAACAGTGATTGTATTATAAGGTTATCTTCAAGTTATCATCTCATCCACTTACACCGTAAATGTAGAATTTTTGGTTTGTAAATGTCTATCGTAGGTATTGGCTAAATTCTTGTTTTGACCATAATAATTTCCCTATGTTAACGCATTTAACGTAGAACTGATTGTTTAAGGCAAAAGTCTTGATTACATCGAATCTAACTATTCTACATTTATAAATATAACATGGACATAACAAGCTATAGTGAAGAACAAAACAAATTAGTGCTAATTATTTTATTTTCGAGACTTATCGCTGAGACCAGCGCCGCATATATTTCAGGATGTTTGCTGAGCCGGGCAGCGAAGACACAGAGTGGTGACCACTCAATCTTCCTTCGTCAGGGTGAGGGCCCACTGCACCTCACTCTCACCTACACCGGCGGCTCCCGGGGAGGGCATCACACAGCCAACCTTACCTCAGCTGACCTGGGCCCGCCGGCAAGGCTGAGGAATATTACACTCGTTTGGGACGGTCAACTGGGCACCATTGGGGTGAGGTTCACGCTCAGGTTTTTTGGGTATATTAACATCTCTAAAGTTGCCCAAACCTCACCGTAGATAGTGAAGGGACGACGACGTTTCGACTTGAGAATGGTCCAGGACGGACCGAAACGTCGTCGTCCCTTCACAGATGTATGTATGTATGACGAGAAGTCACAATAACGTGGCTGAAATATGTTGACCAAACCACACACTAGAAAGTGAAGGGACGACGACTTTTCGGTCCGTCCTGGACCATTCTCAAGTCGAAACGTCGTCGTCCCTTCACTTTCTAGTGCGGGGTTTGGTCAACATATTTCAGCCACGTTATTGTGACTCCTCGTCTGCATACATCTCTAAAGGCTAGTGCACCTTAGACTATTTTGGGGAGGAGGTTGCCAAATTTTGATGGTTTAATAGCACTAGGATTAGGTAGGGATTTAGGATAGAGGGGAGGATAGGTGCCCAGCCACACTTGGACGGTCGGGAATTGAACGCCGAAATGCGAGGGAGACCGTTGTTCTACCGTCCAGTCCAAGTGGCTGAACAATATGGAGGTATTTGTTTACAACTCTTCCCGTGCTTACTACAGGTGTTGGTGGATGGTGCGCCTGTAGGGGGTCTTGTTAAGTACTCGATCCTCGACCACAACAGAGGAGTGGAGGCTGAAGTGACGGACGGAAATGGACTGGTGAGCGCCTGTGACCCTCGCTTCCAGGGCGTGGCGAGATATTTCCCCCCAGGTAAATACGACCTCGACTGTTACCTCACACGCTAGTATGACCCTCAGATATTAAGATCACAACTACATATGGGTACATATAAGTACATATAAGATCAGTATAACATGATCCCTGGTACACTGTTCGTTTCATCTTACTGGCAGACTATCCCAACCTGACTATCCCTATCCTTCTTTACAAACGGATTTCCAAAGCAGTACATCCTTATGTCCCTTCCTAAAACCAAATTTATCCAGTTTGTACTTACTGTCGTGGAGTCTGACCTGTTTCAACTGTTCCAAAAATCTGTTTATTTCCTTATCTTTGGCATGCGTCTCTATAGCTTGTACAGATTGGGACGTTTCAAGCTGTCTTAACGGGAAAGGAACCCAATACCACCGTTCTCAGTATTCTCTGTAGAGTTAGTATGTATTCTAATGTTCTCTATTATATAAGAATCTGTTCGCTTTGAGGCATTCCACGCCTCTCTCTCTCTCTCTCTCTCTCTCTCTCTCTCTCTCTCTCTCTCTCTCTCTCTCTCTCTCTCTCTCTCTCTCTCTCTCTCTCTCTCTCCCAATTTGGTCTACCAATGACTTTATGGTCATTGCCATTTATGGTCTTTATGGTCAGGTCAGACACCAAAACAGTAAGTATACATGTCGTATACAACTCTGCTGACTTTCCACAGGTTAAGGAATAAGCGTTATTCACTGTTAAACTCTACTTGCTATTTTTCTGCCTAACATTAACATTTAAGTCTCCGTGCACCTCACTAGCACTTTTCAAGCGCTATAGTAACACTATTTGAGAAAATTTGCATAAGACAGTGTTTATTTCAAAAACTAAATGAGCTATTTCTAATATTGCCATAATAATCAGCATTTATAAAATAGCATCTGGTGAGATTTTGAAATAAAAAATTTGAGCGACACTAGTAGGAATTAGGAGTAAAATTGACAAATAGGAGAAATAGTAATGGCAGAGGCTGAGGGGAATAACCAGTAGTTTAGGCTGAGAGCCAAGGAGACATCCATAAAAATATCAAATAAATGTTTAATCTTAGATAGTTCCATTTTTTGATCTTGCAGCCTTAAACATAAATTATAAATCAACATCTGATAAGGTTCTTAAGGGAAGATAAGAATTTGGATGTAACGTGTGTAAATAATGACCAATAGCAGACAGCTATATGGGGGATCTGAAGAATCCAAAGTGATGGGATTTCACTCTTGCTATTTCTAAAATGAGAAACTATTATAATTAACCTAACGTAATCCAAATTTATCCAAACGTATAATTCCGTTTATCACCATATATAGAAAGTAGCTTCTGATGGAGTTTATTTTAAATGTAAATTTTGATTTAAAAAAAAGAATATTTTTAAAAAAGAATATTGAAAAAATATTTTTCAATATTGGGGTATAATATTGGTAAATAACAACATGGGGTGAAGAGCTGCGACTAAGACAACGTTCCAAGAACTGATGAAAGCATATCAGAGGGAATAGTATTCCCATATTTGAACCTGTAATCAACCTGTCTTTTTTTTGACGATTTCTTAAACTGAAATTACTGCTTTCAGGAACTTTTCAGTGATCGATTTCAAGGTTATTTGTCAGTAATTCACAGCAAGTGTTCTCTCACCCCCTCTTGCATACTGGGAACACATTTATAGACCCATCAATTATTTGCACCATGCATAAATTCCATTTATCACTTCCCCTGTACCTTACAGTCACTTTAATCCAAGGTGCACTTATACTGCTTAACCTTACAGACTTGTCGCTGCCATCCCCAGACAGCAGTAACTCATCATCATCCTGTCAGACGATGATTTGGTTATTGGCCCTAATTTTCCTCATCTGTCTGGCCACCACAGCCCTCTTCGCCGCCCTCTATTACCAAGCTTCCAGGAGGCTGCTTCAACTTCAGCGGCCCTCTGCCAACTCGAGGACCTCCACCAACTCGAGGACCTCCTCCAAGCGCACCAGTGACAGACGCAAGGACCTGACGGTCACTGACTCGCCCAACGAGAAAGAAGATTGTAACAGCGCCTCGGAAGTGACCATGTCGGTGTCTATGAAGACTCCCGAAGCCACCCCTGGCTCGGTCACTGGCCCCAGATCACCCAAGTTCGTCTCGACAAAAGATTTTGTTGATCTGAACCTCATGTGAAACCGGGAAGCTCGGCAGCTCTATTCCACTCTGCGATCTCATTTAATACTCTAGATTATAGAGGATTATAAATGAGGTGCCGTAATGGAATTTTATTTCGGTTATGGACTAAAAAAAAAAGGGTATTAAAAACTGCTTTTAACGTAGCAGTTAAACCATAGTTAAATAAACCTCATTCTGCTTCAGTCATACAACGATATTTTACTGTGTGTGTGTGTGTGTGTGTGTGTGTGTGTGTGTGTGTGTGTGTGTGTGTGTGTGTGTGTGTGTGT